GACGGTCCCAGGAGGGCCAGGGAGTCGCCGCGACGGGGGTGCCCTCAGCCCATGCCCCTCCCTGCACTGCCCGGGATGCCCGCCGCCCACCGAGTCCTCCCCTCGCACCGCGGCCAATCGTACCACCTGAACGCCGTCCCACCGCGAGGAGACCGGGCGCACGCTGTGAGCCAGGCCACCCACGGCAGCCCCCACGGCGCCTCCCCGTGCTTCTACTTCCGGTCTCGGCCCGCGGCTCCACACGGGTTTCCGGTCACGGCCGGCTACCGCGGAGAGCGGGAACGCCCGGGCCGGGCTGAGGCGGCGGGCAGGTCGGGCGGGGCCGGAGGGACCTGTGGGCGCTTTGTGAGCGGAGACTGGTTCCCGGGACGGGACCGGGCTCTGGGAGACCCAGACACAGGAGCGCAGCTGTGGGCGAATACCAGTCGTAGGGGCGGCGTTGGGAGGGACCCGGCCGTGGGTGGCACCGGGAGCAGGGGGCGTGGCCGTGGGTGGAGACCGGTTTCCCCGCGGGGCGGCCGCGGGGACCGGGATGTGGGTGGTGCCAGGCGCCGAGGACCGGGCGCGGGCTGTGGGCGGGAACCAGAACCGGCGGTGAGGTTGGAGCGGAAGGGTCGGGGGGACAAGACCAGTTCCCGGGGTGGACCGGAGGCAGGGGTGGGGCTGGAATAGGTGAGAAGCTGAACAGTGGGAAGAAATCCGCTCTACCAGCGGGCGGCGGTGGGGCTTTGCCTGGATCCTAGGCTTCACAGCAAACCCTGTTTTGCGGACCTCCGTTTGAAGGACTTTGGATGTAACCCACAAAATTTCCAGTCCCTGTGTCATATGTGAAAATTGACACCCTGTAAACTGTAAAATGCTTTTAGCCAGGATTTGCTTATAACGAAATTAACAGGTTATTTTTTTATTAATTCAGTTATTATTTTTTTAAAAATACGTTTTTATTGATTTCAGAGAGAGGAAGGGAGAAACATCAATGATGAGAGAATCATTGATCAGCTGCCTCCTGCACGCCCCCTAGTGGGGACTGAGCCCGACACCTGGACATGCACCTTGATCAGGAATTGACCGGGATATCCTGGATCATCTGTCAACGCTCAACCTCTGAGCCTTGCAGGCCAGGCTCACTGTTACTTTAAATACATTTTAGTGAATAGGCCATATGTTGGAAAAAGACCAGTTAAATTTTGCAGACATAAATTAATATTACATATCTACAACTATAGTCTACATATTTAAACCTGAGTCACCGCTAGTAAACAATGTTCTATGAATGATTAGTATGTGATCACAGCGCATGGCATGTGGTAACTGGTTCAGTAGTTGCGTGGGGTGACTTTCTGCAGCAGTTTTAACATGGGCAAGCGTATGTCCTGATCTGTGCTAATCCACGCCCCATCTGTGTGCATTTGTTTACTCAAGGTGAATGCACACATTTATTAGACCTATTCAGTGTAAGTTTAAAATTACTGTAATACATATAGAAAACTTTTCTGTGAAATTAAACTTTTTATACATACTGAATTTTAATTACACAAATGTGTCTAACTTTTCAATTTTTTGAAAAGTAAGCTAACTTGTCAAATTTTTAAAATATATCTTTATTGATTTCAGAGAGAGGAAAGGAGAGGGAGAGAGAGAGATAGAAACATCAATGATGAGAGAGTCATTGATCAAGCCCGCAACCCGGGCATGTGCCCTGACCGGGAATCGAACCCTGATCGCCCGGATCCTAGGTTGACGCTCAACCGCTGAGCCACGCCCGGCCGGGCTAACTTGTCAATTTTTTAACATACACATTTGGAAAACCTACTTTATTGTATAACAGACTTTTGGCTTTAACAGACACCACCACACCTGAACTAGTCCTTTATATTGTCCTCTATATCCAGGTTTTACTGTACAAGCAACAGGAAAAGGTAACAAACAGTTTTCCTTCAATTTTTTCACCACGTTCACACAACCTCACAAAGCCTAATAGAATGAGAAGCGCATGTTTAGGATTTTAATTTTCTTGTGCATGTTTTTTGTTCTTAATTTTTTAAAAAAGTGTATCATGTATTTGCATTTCTCTACAATTTGCTGTCCCAAACCAATAGAGAGGGATAACGCTATAGCTGTTTAATTTAAAAAATTTGGGGGAGGAGAGGGACTACATCATAGATAAACATATAAGAACACTTCAAAGACCAGTAAAAAGTCAGTAACATATTCCCATCACTGTCTCTCACCACTGTCTCCCAGTCCTTTCACCCAGATATAAACACTCTTTTCTCCTCTGTCCTTCCAGGTAGTGTGCATATGTATACATATGTATATGTTCAAGCCTAAGGGGAATGTCCCAAAGGAAAAATTGAAGCTGGTAAATTATCTCCTGCATCTGGGTCTACTGAAAACAGATTTATATTTCTGGTGGAGAGGAATGAGCCAGTGATAAACTGATAGGAAGAAACAAGGGAAGTTTCCCATTTTAAAGGTCAAAAGAAAAAATTAGAAAGAAAATGTATTCATATTATCCTACATGGCACTTATCTGGATAAGATTTATGTCATAAGATTGTAAACATTTATGTAATAAGACAATAGATGTTAAATTTTGATTTATCCAAATTCTTTAAATAATTACACTGGACAAGGTAAAATTGTTTTAAATTATGTAAGAGAAATACGTGCTAAGAAAGTAATGAGAAAAGTTAAAAGCTGAAAAATGAAAAATGCATAAATAGCTTATATAGAAATTATAGGGTTACAACCAGAAAAATTAAATTGTTTCTTGGAGTCTGAGTAAAGGGTGGGAAAGGTAGATTTTCATTATAAGTCTGAAGGTATTATTTGAGATATATGTGGAGAGAGAGAAATTGTATTCCAAAGGGATCATCAAACTCTAAGAGGAATTTATAAAATGATTCACTTTGCAACAATGGGGTGTATCTTGACAATGGCACACTTCAAGAATAAAAATTAAAAAGCTATGATCATTTTAGTGGAAAAAAGAATGGGGCATTACCTGCCAGTGTACATGATGATAGCCATTTTATATACATTATTTCTAAGTATTTTCACAGCAACTCATAAGAAAGATGCTATTACCTATCCCATTTTACGGATGAGGAAATTGATGGCAGCATATTGCTAAAATGTTCATATTACATAGAAGTTCCCAGGAGGTATTTTTAAATTGTTTATTGAATTTTCTTTTCATTAACATACACCATTCTTCAGGGAAAAACAAGTACCATATGATTTCACTCATGTGGAATCTAATGAAGAAAAGGAACTAACAAAATAGATTCATAGATAGCAGGCTGACAGCTGTTGGCAGGGAGCTGGAGGTGATGGTGGAGGGGTTGAGCAAAAAAGAAAAAAAAGAAACTCATGGACATGGACAACAGTATTGTGATTGTAGGGTGTGGTGGAGGGAGGTGGAGGAGGTTATAGGGGGATAAATGGTGATGGAAGGAGACTTGACTTGGGGTGGTGAACACAATACAGTGTACAGATGATGTTTTGTAGAATTGTGCACCTGAAACCTGTACAATTCTGTTAACCAATGTTACACCAATAAATTAATAATAATTAAAAATAACAATGCACACCATTCTAACACATAAGCAAAGAGAATGCAAAAAACAATTTTCTCCTGACATACTTAAATGTATCAATCACTTTATTATTTTCCTGCTGTCTACTTCATATCTAGGAAGATACTTCCTATCCTAAAGGTTTACTGAAAAACTCTACTAAATATTCAAGAATCAGGGAATCCCCATATTATGATAACGTCCTTAATACACACAAAAAGTCATTAAAAACCAAAATATTTGATGTAATAACCTTAAATTATTATTTTAAAAATATATTTATTGATTTCAGAGAGAAGAAGGGAGAGGGAGAGAGATAGAAACATCAGTGATGAGAGAGTTGTCATTGATTGGCTGACTCCTGCAAGCCCCCGACTGAGTACCAAGCCCACAACCTGGGCATGTGCCCAGACTGGGAATCGAACCACGACATCCTGGATCGTAGGTCAATGCTCAACCACTGGACCACGTCCGACTGCGCTCATTTTTAATTTTTTAATATTTTTAATATATCTTTATTGATTTCAGAGAGAGGAAGGGAGAGAAAGAGTTGAAACATCACTGATGAGAGAGTGATCATTGATCGGCTGCCTCCTGCAAGCCCCCAACTGGAGATTGAGCCTGCAACCTGGGCATATGCCCTGACCAGGAATTGAACCTCGATCTCCTGGATCCTAGGTTGATGGATGCTCAACTGCTGAGCCACGCCCGGGTGGGCGCATTTTTAATTTTTTGAGGTAATTCCATACTGCTTTCCACAGTGGTTGCACCAATTTGCATTCCCACCAACAGTGCGCAAGGGTTCCCTTTTCTCCATATTCTTGTTGTTTGTTGATTTATTGATGGTAGGCATTCTGACAGATGTGAGGTGATAGCTCACTGTGATTTTGATTTACATCTCTCTGATGATTAGTGATGAGCATTTTTTTCTTATGTCTATTGGCCATCTGTATGTCCTCTTTGGAAAAGTATCTATTCAGGTCCTTTGTTCATGTGCAGTTTTGGAATATTTGTTCTAGTTCTGTAAAATACGCCATTGGTATCATGATAGGAATTGCATTGAATCTATAGATTGCTTTGGGTAGTATGAACATATTTATGATGTTAATTCCTTCTATCCATGAACATGGTATATGCTTCCACTCATTTGTATCTTCTTCAGTTTCTTTCTTCAGTGTCTTATAATTTACTGAGTACAGGTCTTTTACATCCTTGGTTAAATTTTATCTAAGTATCTTATTCTTTCTGAAGCAATTGTGAATGGGATTGTTTTCTTAGTTTCCCTTTCTGATAGTTCATTAATGGTGTATAAAAATGTGACTGATTTCTGGATATTTATTTTGTATCCTACTACTTTACTGCATTCATTTATCAGTTTTAGTAGTTTTTTGGTGGAACCTTTAAGGTTCTCTGTATAGATTATCATGTCATCTGCAAATAATGACAGTTACACTTCCTCCTTTCCAATTTGGATGCCTCTTATTTCTTCTTCTTATGTGATGGCTGTAGCTAGGACTTCCAGTAGTATGCTGAATAAGAGTGGTGAAAGTGGACACCCCTGTTTTGTTCCCAATCTTAAGGGCAACACTTTTAGTTTATTCCCATTAAGTATGATGTTGCCTGGGGTTTGTCACATATGGCCTTTATACTATAGAGATAAAGTCCCTCTATTCCCACTTGCTGAGAGTTTTTATAATAATTGGATACTGGATTTTAT